GATGGAAGTTTTTTGATTACTGCTTCAATTTCTTTTGCTGTTATTGGTGTATTTAGATTTTTTTCTGCTTGGTTCTTTTTCACTGAGTTTTGGAAGATTGTATCTTTCTAGAAATGTGTCCATTTCCCCTAGGTTTTCAAATTTCTTGGCATACAGTTCTTCATAGTAATTTCTTACAATCCCTTCTATTTCTGTGGTATCAGTTGTAATCTCTCCTTTTTCATTTCTGATTGTGTTTATTTGTGTCCTCTCTCTTCTTTTCTTGATGAGCCTACTTAAAGGCTTGTCTATTTTGTTTATCTTCTCAAGGAACCAACTCTTGGATTCATTGATCCTTAAAATTGTGCTTTTAGTTTCTATGTCATTTAATTCTGCTCTAATCTTGGTTATTTCCTTCCTTCTGCTTGCTCTGGGCTGTCTTTGTTGTTGTTTCTCGAGTTCTTGCAGGCGTAGGGTTAGGTTGTTTGTTTGAAATGTTTCTATTTTCTTTAGGTAGGCCTGTATTGCTATAAACTTCCCTCTCAAAACTGCCTTTGGTGTGTCCCATAAGTTTTGGGTTGTTGTGAGATCATTTTCATTTGTTTCCAGAAATGTTTTGATTTCTTCCCTAATTTCATTCTTGACCCATTTGTTGTTTAATAGCATACCATTCGGTCTCCATGTTTTTGGGTGCTTTGGGTTTTTTTCTTTGGGGTCGGTTTCTAATTTCAGTCCCTGTGGTCAGAGAAGATGCTTGGTATGATTTCAATTTTCTTGAATTTTTTGAGGCTCGTTTTGTGTCTTATCATGTGGTCTATCTTTGAAAATGTTCCATGTGCATTTGAAAAGAATGTGTATTTAGCTTCTTTGGGATGAAGGACTCTATATATATCAGTTAAGTCCATTTCATCTAGGGTGTTGTTTAATGCCACAATATCTTTGTTGATAATTTGTTTGGAAGATCTGTCCATTTTTGATAGTGGGGTGTTAAAATCCCCTACTATAATTGTGTTGCTGTCAATATCTTTCTTGAAGTCCTCTAAGATTTTCTTGATATATTTGGGTGCCCCTATGTTTGGTGCATATGTGTTTACAATGTTAATGTCTTCTTGGTGGATTCTTCCCTTGAGTATAATGAAGTGACCTTCTGGGTCTCTCTTTATAGCTTTTTTTTTGAAGTCTATTTTGTCTGATATGAGAATTGCTACCCCAGCTTTTTTTTCTTGTCTGTTTGCTTGGAAAACTTGTTTCCAGCCTTTCACTTTTAGTCTGTGATGGTCTTTTGTCCTGAGGTGGGTCTCTTATAGGCAGCATATGTGTGGATCATACTTTCTTATCCATTGAGCTATTCTGTGTCTTTTGATTGGAGAATTTAATCCATTTACGTTTAAGGTTATTATTGATAGGTACTTATTCATTGCCATTTTTGTACCTGTGTTCCTCTCTGTCTCCCTCTTATCCTTCCTTCCCTTAAAGCAGTCCTTTTAGTATTTCTTGTAGAGCTGGTTTGGTGGAGGCATATTCTTTTAGACTTCTTTTGTCTTGGAAGCTCTTTATTTGGCCTTCTATCTTGATTGAGAGCCTTGCTGGGTAAAGTAGCCTTGGTTGTAGGCCTCTGGTTCTCATTACTTGAAATATTTCTTGCTATTCTCTTCTTGCTTGAAGTGTTTCCATTGAGAAGTCAGTAGCTAACCTTATTGGGGCTGCCTTGTATGTTATTTCTTTTTTCTCCCTTGCTGCCTTTAAGATTCTCTCTTTGTCTTGGAATTTTGCCATTTTGATGATGATGTGTCTTGAAGTGGGCCTCCTTGGGTTCCTCTTGGTTGGGACTCTCTGTGATTCCTGGATTTGTGAGACTTTTTCTCTTATCAAATTAGGAAAATTTTCTCTCATTCAAATATGTTTTCTATCCCTTGTTCTTCTTCTTCTCCTTCTGGTATTCCTATTATTCGGATATTATTACGTTTCACATTGTCTTGCATTTCTCTTAATCCCTCTTCATTCTTTCTGAGTCTCTTTTCATTTTCTTGCTCTTTCTGTGAGATGCTTTCTACCTTGTCCTCCAACTCACTAATCCTATCCTCCGCTTCATCTATCCTACTTTGGAAACTTTCTACTGTGTACTTCAATTCGGAAATTGTGTTCTTCATTTCCTCTTGTCTCTTGCTGATAGTTTCCATTTCCTTTTTGATGTTGCTGTAGTTTGCAGAGAGATCATTGTAGTTCCCCTGTAGTTTCTGGTAGTTCACTGTGAGCTCTTTGAACTTCGTAATAACCAGTGCTTTGAATTCACTGTCTGATAGTTGATCAGCCTCTATTTCATCTAACATTGTTTCTGAAGTTTCTGCTTTTTCTTTCATTTGGGGATTGTTTCTTTGTCTTCCCATTGTTTGAGACTCTTCTTGTTAGTCTCTGCTTCTAAAACTGATCTGTTCTAAAACCCTGGTTTTATGGTGTAAACTTCTGTGGTGTGATTCTTGTGCAGACTCCTTGAAGTTTCTTGATGTTCTTCGTCTCCACCTACACTCACGCTGGTCCTCGCGCTGGTCCCTGCGTTGGTCGCCTACCACTGCTGAATGTCCCGGCTCTAGTAGCCACCTCCTCAAGCACCCAGACCCGTTACTACGGCAGCGGCACAGAGGCTGGGAATGTCCTGGCTCCTGTATCTGGCTCTCTCTGCCACCCAGGGCCGTCACAGGGGTTTGGAGTGTCCCAGTTTCTGAACCTGACTCCCCGGTGTCTAGTCCTGTCTCTGTCGCAGTGGCACAGAGGCTTAGAATGTCCCAACTCCCGTACCTGATTCCCCAGTGTCCAGTCCCGTCACTATGGCAGCAGCACAGGGGCTGAGAGCATCCCAGTTCCCGTAGAGGGCTCCTCTGCCACCCAGGGCTGTCTCAGGGGTTTGGAGAGTCCCGGCTTCTGTACCTGACTTCCAGGCGTCCAGTCCCATCGCTATGGCAGCGGCACAGGATCTGAGAACTTCCCGGCTCCCGTAGCTGGCTCCTCTGCTGCATCACAGGGGTTTGGAGAGTCCCGGCTTCCGGCTTCCGTACCGGACTCCCCGGGGTCCTGTCTCGTCGCTATGGCAGAGGCACAGGATCTGAGGACTTCCCGGCTCCCGTAGCTGGCTCCTCTGCTGCTACCCGACTCCCCGGGGTCCTGTCCGGTCGCTATGGCAGCGGCACAGGATCTGAGAACTTCCCGGCTCCCGTAGCTGGCTCCTCTGCTGCGTCACAGGGGTTTGGAGAGTCCCGGCTTCCGTACCTGACTCCCCGGCGCCCAGTCCCTTTGCTATGGCAGCGGCACAGGATCTGTGAAAGTCCCGGCTCCCGTAGCTGGCTCCTCAGGGCCCAGGCCTGTCTCTATGGTGGCGTCACAGGGGCCTTTTTTGTCCCAGCTCCTGCAACTGACCCTTCCGTTGCCCAGGCCGGTAGCTATGGCATCGGCACAAGGGCCGAGAATGTCCCCGCTCCGGTTCCTGACTCCTCTGTCTCCCAGGCTTGGAGTGTTCGGCTTCCGTACCTGACTCCCCGGCTCCCAGGCCTGTTGCTCTGGTGGCAGCACAGGGGCCGCGTGAGACCCAGCTCCAGTAGCTGACTCTGCCGCCGTCTGGTGTTTCAGTGTCGGTCACAATCTCTGATCTTTTAATTTCATAAATGCTGGGTAACCGATGGTTTATTGTGCTGTTTCTCTATAGAGCTGCCAGGATTTTCACCCATGAGTACAGGAGCTAGCATCAGCTCCATCCTACTCCGTCGCCATCTTCCCAGAATCCTCTGCAGGTCTTTTTTTTAAAAGTACTGGATTTGAGTTTTTTTCCTTCCTCTATGATGGTGACCTTCAAGCTTTGCACATGGAAATATTAAACCAAATTTTGCTATTGAGCTCCAAGGTTTAATTAAGAAATGTATGTATTTTTCATAATGTAATTTGGTATGAGATTTTGTTTCAAATATATGAGATGCTTAATTTCCGTCTCCAACAATGCTCTTAGGAGTGTATTCTTATTTTAAACACTTACAAAAGTATTAAGTTTTCATTATTAACATATTTGGGCAATGCAAGATACTGTATAGAAGTTAAAAAGTCCCTCTAATTAATTACTGCATTCATTAATCCATTGATACAATATTTATTGAGCACCTACTTTGTGCATTGTTCTGGGTGCTGGACAACAAAACATTACCTGCTTTCACAGACTTTGCTTTTTAGTATAGGAAGTCTGCTATAAATGTGTAACAAGTGAAAAATATCAGGCTTTTTAAGTGTTTTGAAGAACTAGAAAGTAGGGTCGGGGGATAAGAGTGGTGGGGATGGGGATAGAGATGAGGTGGTCAGGAAGGCCTCTTGATAGGGGACTTTGAATGAGAACTGTTTGTTTGAGGGGCCAGCTGAGTTAGGGCACTGTGTAGAGACAGATAGGGAGGTTACACAGGACTGGAAATACAGGTTATGGTAAGGATTTGGGTTTTGTTCTACTAAGGCAGCCACTGCTTTATGTTTTAGAGTATTTCCCACCACTTTATATTAGTAACCTCTATTTTCAGCCTAAATAGGCTAGTACTTACTAATTATAATATTTTTTACCTGCTTAATATAAATTGCTGGTTACAAAGTGACATAAATTTTTTTTTAATTTGATATTTTTGAGATATATAATTGTTCATTTTCTCAATTTAACTGCTTTATCAGGCTTCCATATTCTTTTTCCAAATGAAGTTTCTGTAATTAAAATAACACACAGGTACACACGCATTGTTCCAATAGTATAACTTGATAAGATTCAATTTCTAGGGCCCTTCTTTCTTCCCTTTCTTCTTACCTACCATTAATTGGTAACTCCGTGGTGGCTGATGATACTGCTCTTGGTGCCTTCACTTTTGGGGATGTACTGCTCTGTGTTTCTATGACATACTTCCTGTTTCTCGGATATATTTCCTTTTGTTCTGGGCTATGATATCCCAGATCTGTGTTCTCCTCACAATGTGTCTAATGAATGACTTATGTTTTTCCAATTTTAGGTTACTACACTAGTAAATTGTCCGCAGAATCCTTCTAACAGGAAAAAGGGATGTTCAAAAAGAGCCAGAGTTCTTCTAGCTTCTGTGGAAGAAGCAACTTGGAATTTATTAGACAAGGGAGAGAAGATCGCCCAGGAAGCCACAGTTTTAAAGGAAGAGCTTACCGCCACACTTAAGGAAGTTCGCAAAGAAAGTGAGTACGCTAGTCCTGGTCAGGAGCAAACTGCATACCTTGGGTGTTAGTTACTGGATGAGATTTGTGAGTGTTTTGCTTTTTTCTGACCGAGCTTATTAGTTTTTTGCGGAGTTCTGAGGTGCTCGCTGTGGGAGCCAGAGTGGCTCATTAAACAGCTCCAAGGCTTAGAAACCCAGTCCTGGTTCTTCCCTTTAGTTGCTCAGCTCCTCCAGGCAACTTCTTCCATCACCATGTCACAGTTTATCCATAATAAACAAAGAGAAGAGTATCTTTTCTGTCATTGAATATAATGAAAAATGGCCAACAGAGCTGAAGACTTATTTTCCCATACATACGTAAATTATAAAGTTCCATGTAAACAGTTGGAGATAGAAGTTTGTACCTCTGAAGTACATTTAAAAAAATTTTTTTCTAAAGGTTTAGATTTCCTAAACTTAAAAAAATGATTTGCATACACTGTGTATAATTTATGTTGCTGCTGTGTTAATATTATCTAATAAAAGATATCATAAATAAAGGCACCATTTTCTGATATCTTTACTTATGTGACTATAATAGTTTTCTAATGAATGTAAGTCTCATATGCAGATTATTTAAAAATACTGAATATTCTTTGGTCAATAGAATGATTTTCTACATCAGCTTGCTGCAAGACACTATTCTGAGAGAATACAAAACTTAAATTTTTCTGTTCCACTTTGTAATAGAAACTTTGGGTGTTCAAATATTACTTTCCTCCTACCCCCAAGATTAATTTTTAGAAATCCAGGATTTTTTTTGCCAATTAAATAATGAAAATGAATAGCTATAATAAATTTTAGGTCTAATACAGCTGGATTATTTGTTACATACTTTACATGTGATTTATATTTTCTAGGGATTCTTTGGACAATATGTATAAAACATAATGTCCAAGGTAACATGAAATTAATTCATCATTCCTCCCTGCTGCCTCAGGACTACCTTTCTCTGGTCTTTGGTGCCCCGATACTATCAACCACTTAGTTATCAAGTCAGCGTAGACCCTTTGTTCTCATTCCATCCTCTCTTCCAATTAGTCTTTTAAGTTCAACAAATTCTATCTCCTTTTGCCTCTCAGGTCTGTTCTCTCTTCTCCATTTCTAATGTCTCCCAAATTCTGGATCACTGCATTAGTCTTGTCCCATACCAAAGCAAAGATATCTTTTTTTAGAAAATGAAAATGTGCTCATTTTACTTCCTTGCTTAAAATCCATTTTAGTAGCTTTTGAAGGATTAGGGGTCTGTCTAGATACAGTGGAAATTTTTAAACCTAGCTCCAACAGCATTTAATAATTTGGCTCCTACCATTCTCTCTCTTCTCATTTCCTGATTCTGTCCCCTCTCAAGTGTTCCTCCAAACAGGTACACTCAGTATCTGGAATGATCCAAGTTGCTTCATGTCTCTGTTACCAGAGCCATTCCCTTCACCTGGAGGGCTCTTCTCATTCAGCCAGTTCTCACTCAGCAGCAGAGCTCAGCCGAGTCATCCTTTCTGGGAATTGTTTACTTGATGCTGATTTTGATGTCCCTCTTCTGTGTCCTGAGAGATTCTGAGCATTTTTCTTTCAGAGGAGTTATCACACCATGCACCAAACATTGATTTAATTGTTTAGTCATCTAGACTCTTAATTCCTTGAGGGTGGCAAGTACCACTTTTTTTTATTAGCAATGTCTGACATATAACAGATACCTGAGGAATGTTGTAAGTAAAACATCGATGTATCATTTTGTCATTTTATATCATAAAATTTTACAATGGTTTTTATTTTTCTGTTATGAGAAATTATTCACCTAGCTATAGTTTCATTGCTTAGTCTTTAGTTTGAATTATGAACCCTATTCTAGTATTGTTTCTTTCAGAAAATGGGATCTATTTGATAGCATAGTTTCCATAAACCATCTAGTAATAAATATGTAAGACACTGGTCACTCTTAGAAGGGAACAATAATTACAATAATTGTCATTAAATGATATTTCTTTAAAAAATCAGTCAACATTTTAGCTCACTAGGACTAAATTATTTTAAAGAGAATTTCTCAAAGAGAAGTCTGTTTAGATTCTGATTATGCAGTATACCCTCACTATGTTCTGTTATAATGTATGGCCTATACTGTATACACAACAAATACACTTGGTTAAGGATCACCAAGTACTTTACTTTCTGATTCTTGTTTGACAAACTGCCAAATTGAGCCACAGCCACTTGGGTGTGGGAGGAAAGCAGTGAAAGTACAAATGGTTCTGGAATCTGGGGACTGGTCAGTGCTCACCCTATAGAAAATAGGGGTGCGCATGGGTCCCAAAACCTTGGAAGGGCTTTTAGCTCAGTGGTGGAGTGGAGGTATCAAGAGAGTGAATTCTGGTCCAAGCAATGCTGTCTGATACTACAAATGTATTTCAAATAGTTTTTGGTGCTTTTTTAAAAAAAAAAAAAAAACCTTGGAAACTTGAGCACCAACTTACACCATACACCAAAATAAATTCAAGGTTGATAAAAGACTTAAATATAAGCCGTGAAACCATTAAAGTCCTAGAGGAGAACATTGGCAGGAAAATCTCAAATATTTCACACAGCAACATTTTTACTGATATGTCCCCTAGAGCAAGGAATATAAAGGAAAGAATAAACAAATGGGATCTCATCAAAATAAAAAGCTTCTGCATGCCTAAAGAAAACAGTATTAAATTAAAAAGACAACCAACTGTATGGGAAAACATATTTGCCAGTGATACCTCAGACAAAGGTTTAATCTCCAAAATATACAAAGAACTTACATGACTTAACTCTAAGAAGACAACTAATCCAATTAAAAAATTGTGAAAGGACTTGAACAAACACTTCTTCAAGGAGGGCATACAGAGCATCCAGAGACACATGAAAAGATGCTCAATATTGCTAGCTGTCAGAGAGATGCAAATTAAAACCACAATGAGATACCACTTTACACCAGTCAGAATGGCTATCATAAATAAAGCAACAAACAACAAATGTTGGAGATGTGGGGAAAAGGGGTCCTTAGTTCACTGTTGGTGGGATTGCAGACTGATACAACCATTATGGAAAACAATATGGAATTTTCTCAGAAAACTAAAAATGGACCTGCCTTTTGACCCAGCAATTCCACTGCTGGGATTATATACTAAGAATCCTAAAACATCAATTTCAAAGAACCTATGCACCACAATGTTCATAGCAGCACAATTTACAATAGCCAAGAGTTGGAAGCAACCTAGGTGCCCATCAGTAAATGAATGAATCAAAAAATTGTGGTACATATACACAATGGAATTCTATGCAGCAGAAAGAAAGAAGGAGCTCCTACTCTTTGCAACAGCATGGATGGAACTGGAAAGCATTATGGTGAGTGAAATAGGCCAGGTGCTGAAAGACAAATACCATATGATCTCACCTTTAACAGGAAGCTAAACAACAAAACAAATAAGCAAGCAGAAAAAAACAAAGACACTGAAATAGAGAACAAGGGGACAGTGACCAGAGGGGAGAGGGAAGGGAATTTCAGGGGAAAAAGGAGAAGAATTTACAGGAACCAGTATAAAGGACACATGGACAACAACTAAGAGGGGTGGAAATGGGAGGGAGGTGGGGAGCATGAGGGGGGGCTGGGATGGGAGTAAAAGAAAACTGTACTTGAAAAATAATTTAAGAAAATAATAAAAAATAAAATTAAAAAATACTTTGTTCAGTGGCATAATGTGAAACCCTAATAATGTAGAGAAAATGGGAAGTTTAAATATTTAGAAAAGTGAAAAAAGCATTGGAAGTAGAGAATATATATACATATATATGTATATGTATATGTATGTATATAAAAAGCATTTAATGGATTTACTTAGAAACTTGAAGTGATAAATAAGGTAGGGATTTGGTTACCTAAAGAACTTGAATGGGGAAGTTGGGACTGGGAAAGTATTCGGGGAGGGTGGTGAAAGGAAGGGTGTAACTATAGAGATCCAGCGAAGGGGATTCATGTAGTGGTTATTTATGATCACACGTGATCTTATAATTTACCCCTGTCTTAACATCTATACAATGGAAAAGTTTTATTTAAACAGTTTTAGAATATTCACATAACAATTTAGGAATTAGCTAAGGATTGTTTCTAATGCCTGGATTACATGTTTTTACCTATAGCATATAGTATCTTATTTTTGTAAAGGTTCTACTCCCCTACAAATCTGTAGACATTGTTTCTAAATCACATGATTGGTTATAATTAAGGTTTTTGAATGATTCATTGAGAATAATATATATACAGAGAAATGCATACATTATTGTGAGCAACTCAATACATTTTTACAGACTGAAACACTAATGTAACCTCCACCCAGGTAAAGAAACAGAACACTACTAGAACCCCACCCCTTGCACCTCCTACCCTTCCCTTCAAAGGTGGCCATTATCTTGGTTTTTTTGGTCTCTTCTTGAACTTTATGTGACATCATGTAGTATGTGATCTCCTGAGTCTGGTTTTTTTTGCTCATTGTTATTTTTGAGAATCTCATTGTATTCATTCATTTCATTGATATTATTTATTCATTGTACTCTTGATGGACATATGAGTTGTTTCCAGTTTTTGGCTTTAATGAACATTGCACTATATACATATTTAAGCATTACTTTTTCTGCATAAGTGTGGACATTTCTAATGGGGTTATACTTAAGAATGAAATTGCTAATTGGAAGGTATAGACTCAGATTTAATAGATATTACCAAACAGTTTTCCAAAGTGGATTTCCCAATTGATGCTTTTATCAGTAAAGTAGAACAATTCCAGTTGCCCTACATTCTTATTAAATTGGTGTTAATGAAGGTCAGTATTTTAAATCCAGGTGTATGTAGTGGTATTTCATTGTAGATTTAACATATATTTCTTGGATGATTTTTTTATATGTTCTAGATATGAGTCCTTTGTTAACTATAGATGAAAAACATCTGCCTTTTATTATATTAAG